GGCCCCAAAATTAAAAAAAAAAACCCGTGTTCAAAAAAAAAAAAAAAAAAAAAAAAAAAAAAAAAAAAAAGAATGGAGCCTTTTTCACAAGTGAATGCCCCTTATCTCCCTCCCTTCTTGAAAAAAAAAAAAAATCAAGGACATCAGTGAAGTTAATACAAATGACCAAACATTATCTGAAGACAGACTGCCAACTAGGCCAACTAGGTAATTCCACAGACAATAAAGTATGTCCTTTCATAGTGTGGTCAAAGGTGGTAATCAGCACATCAAAGAAGCAGTTCCAACTGGGGACATGGCTGACAAGGTGATGGACTTCCTTCAGACACCATAAAACAGAACCTACCACCTCCTTCCAATCACGTCCCTCATCCTGGGACCATTTGGCATTCTCCTTCCATCCAAAGTGTACTCTGGTATTTTCTTGGGCTAGATGCTGAGTGGTCTTAATAAACACAGGAAACAGAGTATCTGTCTTTTACTAAGCCTCAAAGTAGGAAGACTCTCAAGAATGTCAAAATGCCCAAGTGGAATGGATTCCTCATTGCAAATTTCAAATGAATCTGTTTTATTCTTGTTTTAATCTAGAAATACAGTAAATACTTTATCAGTGTTTTAAATCAATATTCTGTGGTTTCTTCAAGTAAATTTTAAAAGTAATAGAGGCCCTGGGACAATGGACTTTAATTCTAGCATGTGTGCTCCAGGTGCTGAAGTTACAAGTCTGCATTGCCACAGCCAACACCAGCTGACAGTCTTAATTGCTGAATTTAATTGTAATAATTACCAAAGTAACTGTTACTATCCAGGCAAATGCAAACCTGGCCCCACCCTTTGGGGACCTGGCACGCATGGTAAGCAGTACCCTTGCTCTGGACACAGGTGCAAAGGTCCTTGTAAGAGACAAGCTCCGCCTACTTTCTTCTCTTTTCTTCTTGATGTTTCTCTGAGGAGGCAGCCTTCTCTGTCTGTCTGTCTGTCTCTGTCTATCTCTATCTCAGTCTGTCTTCTCTCTTCCCTTTCCTTACTTCCCTACCCTACCCAGTAAACTTTTCACATAACTTTTGTCTGTAGGTCTCTGTCTGTCTCTCATCCACTGTTTGTCCCTCACCCGCCATGGGGCTTCCCACCAAGGTCCCACCTCTCGCCACATATTCATAACAGTAACTGGCTGACATTTCACGGAGAAATTGGGAGGAGAGAGGATAGAGACAATGGAGAACTGCCATACACAAGCAAATGCCCCAGAGTTTCCACTGTGATACAAAAATCCCCTAAGGGAGAGTTAACAAGATGTTATGGTCATTCCAGCAATTACCTCTTATTTGAGTGTTGGTAACTGACTAAAAGTACCTTCTCATGGGCCTGAGAAGGCCAAAGCAACATTTAAACTCACTTTAGGTCTGGCCTTGCATGTTGACTAGTCTGCAAAGATTCCTGGCTGCTCTGTGGAGCTCGGTGTTGAATTTGAGTCTTGTCTGGCTCTGATGGGCTTTCTGCTGTGGAGCATGTTGTTTGCTCCCGAACTGGCCCCAACCGTTGGTTTCTTCCACAGTGACAAAGTCCGAGCCCTCTCCTATGCACAGCACACAAGGCAACTCATCTCATGTGGCGGTGACGGTGGCATTGTCGTCTGGAACATGGATGTGGAAAGGCAGGAGGTAAGTGAGTGCCAGCACTCTGGGTGAGACCTGCAGCTGTCTCTGCTCCCCTTCTGCCTATTTCTGTAGTGATTAAACCATGAAATAAGATATATTAAAAGTTAGAAAACTCCTGATGAGTAAGAGCCCCCTTGGTTTTAATGGAAATACAGGAAGTAATATTATGATTGTTTGTCATGTTCTAAATAGTCCCCAAACATGTCCTGTCTTCTTAAGCACACATTTAAATTTCCCACAGCACTTTTAGAATTAATTATGCTTTTTAACCTATGAGCATTTTAACAATTAAATGCTTACTGAATATTCCCAGGACAAGTATTTTGAAGTTAACCATTTCTTGTTGACCTAGAATTATTCTGGGTAAACTTTCCCTTTGACAGTCAGCATTCTTGTCATTTATTTCCTGCAGGCTGTGAGAATTAAATAGAAAAAGCACAATTTATAAAGACAAAATTTCCCCAGTTTTTCCCATCCCTTCACCCGAGTTTCATCCCAAGAGAGTCACTGGTGTTACCCACACAGCGGTGCCTTCAGATGCCAGTAATTAAACGCTTAGGAAGATTATAGCTTTATTTTGTGGAGCCATAAATCCACAGGAGTTCTATTAGTAACTAATTAAAACAATCCTTAGTGGTAGGAAGCCAGGAAATGTAGAATATTGCTTTTGAAAAGTACACTTGGCACCATCCATGTACAGGCAGGGGATCATTACAGCCCATGCTGCTCATGTGAGACAGGCTTCCCTGGGACTGGGGATTATGTCCTGGCTGGCTTTGGGTTAGGGACAATCAGGCCTGATTCAAGTCTGGCTTTTGTATGCCTTTTTTTTTTTTTTTTTTTTTTTTTTTTTTTTTTTTTTTTTGAAGGACAACCCAAAGGAACATAACAGTGTTGTTTCCAAAGATGAAAGTAGGCATTTGGGAGCCAGCTTTGAGCCATTTTGACATGCATATATATGAACATTCAGCACTTGCTGATGGTTTAAGATCTTGTTAATTAGAAGCTCTGATGAGCAATGGGAATGATTCCATCTATCTTTTACAAATACCATATTTCATAAGCATCTGGGAATTGCTTCCTAGTTATGGCAGAGGCTGTGGGGTGCTAACAATAGTGAAGTTTGTTCTAACCTGAAGTGCTGACAGACTTTCTAGAAAGTTCAGAGTACTATTAAATGGTATAAGTAATGAACTTACAGTCAACACTAGTTAGAATGTCAGTGCTGGGTATTTTGGAAGGGACGTTACAACCGGCTGTCAAGGAAGGGTTCAGTGGGCCTGCACATGCTATTGCTGGGAGAGTCATGGACTTTCCCAGCTAAGAAACACCAGGAGTAAGAGCAGGGTGGGTGTGAGAGGTTGCTGTGGTGCATCAGTGCTGCTGGGAGGTTAACAACAGTCAGGCATAGGAGTTGCAGATGGAAGTCAGCATGGGGCAGGCAAGGGAGGACCCAGCATGGCTGGATGCAGATCAGCATGACATCTCAGATGCTAACTGTGTGTCCATACACCTAATGAAATCACTTGTTTACATGTTATTAGATGTAGTACACAGTCTTTGTAGAAAGTTAGAAAATACTGACTAATAGAAAACAGGTCTATTAATCATGATACCACCATCCAGAAATACCATATTTACAAAATCTGTGACTTAACAAAGATTCTCCATGTTGGCAAACATCCATCCTTCTGTTTTTTTCTACATTTACAAAACTTCTTTTAACAAAAAATGGAATCTTATTAAATGTATTGATTTTTCTCTTCTGAATGCCTTCATCATAGACACTCACTATGATAAATTTTCACCCAGATGTGTGTGAGTGTATGCGTAAAGGTGTGTGTGGTAAGAGCGTATAAATAATACTGTGTGTGTGTGTGTGTGTGTGTGTGTGTGTGTGTGTGTGTGTGATGTATGTGTGTGAGTATGTGGGGTGGAGGGAGGGTGGTATATATGTGGTGTATGTGTGTGTGTGTGTGGTATGTGTGGGGGGGTGGGAAGGGTGGTTTATATGTGTGTGGTGTATGTGTGTATTTATATGAGTATATATGATGTATATGTAAGGAATGTGTAAATATATAAGTATTAGTATATTGTGAAATTTGTAGGTATGTATGTCAGAATGTGTGGTGTATGTGTAAAATGTGTGTATGTCTGTATATGAGTATGTATGGTGTATGTGTGTGTGGTGTGTGTGTGTGAGGTATGTGTGTATGAGTGACTATATATCTGTGTGTGTGATGTATGTGTGTGGTATATGTGTGAGAGGTATGTGTGGATGTGGAGATGTAGATGAGTGTGTGTGGATGTGTGTGTGGTGTGTGTGTGTGACTGTGTATCTGTGTGTGTGATGTGTGTGTGAGAGGTGTGTGTGGATGTGGAGATGTAGATGAGTGTGTGTGGATGGTGTGGTGTGTGTGTGTGACTGTGTATCTGTGTGTGTGGTGTGTGTGTGATGTGTGTGTGTGGATGTGGAGATGTAGATGGGTGTGTGTGTGGACGTACAAACAGTGCTGCATTACAAGTCTAGTTTTGTCTCTACCTTCTGTCCCAGAAGTATTTTGAGCTCTCCCCAGCCTGCTGGAGCTCAGTGGGAGAGTGCTTACTTGACATGTGTGAGGTTCTCAGTTCAGTCCCCAGTACAACACTCACGCTCACACATGCACTCAGCATGTATGCACATGTACACAGCACACACATGCAAGATCTGGTAAAGAATACCTTTAAGCAGAACATACTTTTACAACCTGTCCGTCTTAATTTAGACCACTTCCGGTGGGGTTGCGTGTATATGTGATGTGCAATTAGACATCATTGTTGTCATTAGAGACTAGGGACTGAAGTTCTCAGCCTGACGGTCAGGAGCCTGCAAAGTGGGACACCTGCTCCTCTCTCCAGCTTCACTGTTCCTCTTCTGCCTTCCAGCCATGCTGAAGTTGTACTCAGCCCCCTCTGCCTCTTCTCCTCCCTTTCTCCTTCAGGTCTCAGCTGAGTTACCTTCTTTAGAGACCCCCAGCCTACATCAAAGCCTTTGGTCTACCTCACCGGCCCCTAGGCTTTCAAACTCTCAGACATTTTGATTACAAATAATATTTTCATGACATCTTCCCTAATAAATTACAATCTCTGTGATTTTAGGTTCTTTTTATTCACCACTGTATGCCATCCTCAGGGCCTGACAATTAGCAAACCTTCTGTAACTACTTTTGTGACTGACTGAGGAACCAACTGTTTTCTGATAAATATGGCCTGGTTGTAGAAGTCTAACTAGTGCCCATGGTTCCTTTGTCATACCACCTCTCACTGTGGCTGCTCTTGCTTTATTTGAAAAGACCCCTGAGTGGCTGGACAGTGATTCCTGCCAGAAGTGTGACCAGCCTTTCTTCTGGAACTTCAAGCAAATGTGGGACAATAAGAAAATTGGCCTAAGACAGGTGGGTAACATATGCTTTATTAAAGTGTAGTTATTTGGAAGTGACTTAACATATAATTTAGAAGTAGTAGCCCCTGGGTGGGAGTTGTAGTGGACCAAGTGATTTTATACCTGTGACACCCAAATGTTTACTGCAGCCCCTCCCTAACAGATTGAGTTTCCCAGTGGTTTGTTCTAAGTACTTGACTGATACAGTTTTAAAATTCTAACAGGGTCTACTGATGAGTACCACCTTGATTAGTCACGGTAGCTCATGCTGGCTCCAAACTATGAAATTACATGAGGATGTTCACTTCTTAATTGTTCACTTTCCCTCCTTCTGACATGGTTTTAGCCGTTTAGATCTGTTTATGACACAGCAATTTCAAAATCTGATTCTGTGGTTTGGTTTGGTCTTCCCTACAGAGATCAAATGTTAGGTTACCTGGGTTGAACACTGCTAGAGTCTGAGACAATAGGCTCGATCAGAGGCCATCCAGATTTGTAATCTTTCAAAGTAGCAGCACTTCCTCAGTTGAGCCAGCTTTAAGATCTGGCCATTGGGTGTGTGCAGCTCACAACAATGGTAGGTGAAGAGGATGGAGAATGGGGAACAGAAGAGGGGAAGCACACTTCCCAGAAGTCCTCACTCTGAACTGAGACCAAAATTAAAAGGAGTAGAAATCTGGTATGCCCTTGGTGGGTTTCAGAATACTGTTGTGGTAGTGTGTGTGTGTGTGTGTGTGTGTGTTTATGTGTGTGTTTATGTGTGTGGTACGTATTTTGGTATGGTATGGTATCATGTATATCATGTATTCAGTGATTTACTGGGGGATAACTGGTCTTCTAATCCTTTTAACACTTTGTAAATCATGTTAAGTATTCTGGTTTATCTTCATCAACTATAAATGAAGCCCTTCTACCTAAGACACAAATAAGTCTGTGTCTGGCTTCAAATATTTGGTCACCTGGCATCACCCTCCCCAGTACTTGGATTGTAAGACTGTGCTACCATGGCCAGCTCTGGGGCACTCTGGCCTGGTGTCCTCACCTGACAGCAGTTGGTTTTCGAGTGTGTCAGGACTGCAGCCAGAGCCATGGTATCCTGTTTTCCTTTTCCCCCAGCACCACTGCCGGAAATGTGGGAAGGCCGTGTGTGGCAAGTGTAGCTCCAAGCGCTCTTCCATCCCACTCATGGGCTTTGAGTTTGAAGTCCGGGTCTGTGACAGCTGCCACGAGGCCATCACGGATGAAGAGTAAGTCCCACACCCTGCACCCTTCTGGGTTACGGACCAAGCCCAGACTTAGAGCTCCACTCCAGAGCCAGTGTGCTGCCTAGCTTGCTGGGGTGGTAGTACAGACAGAAACATGCAGTAGATTCAACTAAGGCCAAGAGACAGTCACCTGCTGAGTGCTCACAGCAGTGTAGAGACCCTGAACCACGGTGAGGGCTCTGCCTCTGCCTCTTCTGCCTCATCTCTGGCAAGCACTCTAGACCTGCCTATAGAGCATCAAGGCAGCCAATGGGCCTACTCATTAAAATCAGCAGCAAAGCCATAGACCCAAGAACACAGAACAAGCAATGGTGTGTGTGTGTGTTAAGATATTTATGTTGTTTGGTCATATATACATACACACACACCCATACACACACACGTTCATACATATATATTGCTTAGTGAAGCTTTAGAATATCATTTTTTAAACTTTTATTTGCATTTACACCCGTGGGAAAGGAAAAAAAACATGGTTGGTCTTCAGTTAGACAGGCAGTGGTATCTTGGGCATTTTAACAACCACACCTTTAAAATAAAATAGGCCAAGCTAGAGTATATTCCTTCCTCCTAAGCACAGACTTAGCAAAGGTACTGTGGTCTTTAAAAGAGTTCTCCAAAGCAAGACTTTCATGGACCCCATCACAGCAGAACTCTTTAGGGGTTTTCATCTTCCCTACTCTGGAGACCAGAAGAATCATTTTGCCTTGTTATCTTTGTAAAATCCTGAAATGAGGCCAGTGAGACGGTTCAGTGAATAGAGGCACTCATGTCTAGGCCTGGTTGCCTCAGTTCACTCTCTGAGTCCCACGAGCTAACAGGAGAGAACTGACTCCTGAGAGCTGTCCTATGATCTCCACGTGTGCATGTACACACACACACACTAAATGAATAATAAAATCATGTAGCAGATCACCATGGAGTGGAAGCAAGAGTATTTCTAACAGTGTAGCAGTGTTAGCCACTGGGCTAAAAGTGAGGATCTAAGTCATCCTGGATCCCTGTCACCCACGTGCCCACTTTTCACTCTGGTCTCGCTCCTTCCAGACGTGCACCCACCGCCACCTTCCATGACAGCAAGCATAACATTGTGCACGTGCATTTTGATGCCACCAGGGGATGGTTACTGACTTCCGGAACTGACAAAGTGATTAAGGTAAGATGTCATCTTGTTAAGCTTCCTACTGTGGGCCTTGTATACAGACAGTATCAAAAACTGTGAGGTTGTCTGTGTTCATGTCACCCATGGAAGTGAGCATGTCCAGAGCCTACTCCACTCAACATTCTGATTTGGAGGATAATTTACTTATGATATGATCTTTAAGAGCCAATACGAGGAATCTATGGAGATTGTCCAGTTGGTAAAGTGCTTGCAAGGACCTGCGCATTAAAGAAAAAAAAAAAAAGTGGGCCTGATGGCAAACACTTTTTAATCACAGAGCTGGGGAAGTGGAGTCAGGTGTATCCCAGAGGACCAGCCAAGCAGCCTAGCTTAGTCAACAAGCCATGGGTCTCAGTGACAGATGCTGTCTCAAAAGACAAGGTAGATGGCTCCCAAGGAGCGACAATTGAGGTGGTCCTGTAACTTTCACACACATAAACACACACTAGACAGTAAGTCACATGTGCAGAAGTCATAAAAGTAACATGAGAGATAATAGCCAGGATTCTCAGAGGGAGGGGAGCTGCTTGGGAAGGTCTCTGCATCAGGTGCTCTTGATCTAAATAGAGGTTGGAAGGCAGGCTGGAATCGGTCCCCAAGTCATTCACAAGCTTTTCTCCTGCTGAGATTAATGACTCCAAGAGTGTTTATCCACACCTCTGAAGCCACATGGACTCATGGTCACAGCAGAAGCCCAGGACAGAGGGGCGACTCTGTCATCCTGCCCAGTTTCGGAGACAGCAACAGGATGAAGTTGTTAGAGTAACTTCAAGCAAGGGTCAGCCAAGTTCTGAGGCCGGTGCCCTTCTTTTTTGATGTCTTAGAGAATTGTTTGGAAGGTTCCCTGGGAAATCTATGGAAAGGCATGACCGGGGTGTACTGGCTCCTCTCTCCTTCAGTGGATCTGATCTGCCTTCATGCTCCTTAGCTGGAGCAACATGTAGCTTCCCTTATGCGGAAGTCAGGCTAGTGCTGTATGTGTTTGTTTGATAAATGGAAAAAAAAACAAAACCCTACTTTGAATTGAGGCCATTCTAAGCATTGCTCCTCAGTACAGTTTGATCTTAATTCCTCCTTGGCATGTTTTTCTTTTTTGCAGTTGTGGGATATGACCCCAATAGTGTCATGATGACTCTCAGGGACTAGAAGATCGTCTTCATTAAAGAAACACTTGTTTGGGCCTGAAATCATTACAGGAGAAGCAAAGTATATAGATGAGCAGGAAGAGAGACTAAAGGCTCAAAGTGAATTGGTGTTCTCCCTGTACTGGTGCAGTGAACTGATGGAAGAGACTCTTCAATTGTCCTTACAACATAAAAGAAGATATTTTTTTATCAAATGGTTTATACAGCCTGGCTGTGCTGCATTGTTTTGAGTATATTGCAACATCTGTGTGGGATGTTTAAGTGTCTTGTGTCTCAGTCTTTCATTGTACTCGTTGCTTTCTGTGTCAGGAAAAGAGAGAGAGAGAGAGAAATGTGTTAAAGGTATTGTGTCATAGAAAGCAGTCTCCACATTCTCTTCACCTCAGCATGTACCAGACAGAGCCTTTCTCTTCTCTTGAGTCTTCCTTCACAGGCCCCACTTGCCTCTCACCAGAGTGTATGATTACAGTTTATTCTGGTGTTCTGCTTCCATGGCCAGATAAGAGTTAGAAAACCGCGTGTGTCTGACAGCAGGCCCCTTGAGTCACCTATGGGGAACAGTTGTGTCATCAGAAGTGCCTGCGATTCTGCTTCATCATTCTCTTTAATCCCACCTTAGGAAATGCTTTCAGAAACTGCTGTTCACGGTCAGCCCGGACACTGGTCACGTGACTCAGCCTCGCTTTGCAGTGCCTGTGTCTTTCCAAATTCAGTGAGGGCTTCTTGAGCCTTTTGCATTTTGGACTTTCAGAATTTTGGTTTGGGGTTTTTTGTTTGTTTGTTTGTTTGTTTGTTTGTAGCTTTTCTTTACTGTAACATGAAAGACAAACAAAAATGTCCATGCTCCAGAAGTGTCTTGAAGGTACATCTTTCTACATGGCATTGCCTCTGAATGTGAGCATTCATTACTTTCTGATTAGAATCCTGCTCTCTTCACCATCCATATTTAGTTTCCATTTAAAAACCAGGTATCTACACATCTTTATGTTAATGTATACTTTTCTATGAAGTCAGCATGTGATCTAAACAGAGGTACTAAGAAACGAACAGAATTCTCCTAAGGAAATCAGTCCAGCTTGATAAGGTGCAGTAAGTCGGGATACCAAGGTACATTAAAAGTAGTAGCAAGCCTAGAAGCTGGTCCATCCAAGCACTTCACACATGCTCACCCGTTAGGGTATCAGTGAGGGTACCAGGTCAAAGTCCTGTGGGTACACAGGCTGATTGCTTGCCCTGACTTTCCATGTTACACTTCCACAGTATCTAATTCACTCCTGACTTAACAGGTGCTTCCTGACAGGAAGTACTTAAAGGAAATTACAGTTCTCCCTATTACCTTGCTTCTGTTCCTAGAAAAGTGGTTTCCCCTATGTCATCGTTGCTTCTCTTTCAGGAGGAAGCAGTAATAGCCATTTTTGGATACCACCTTTAGCACTGACAACCCAGAGTACTTCCTAGGACAAAGCATTCTGGCTCCACTTCTGCTGGCTGGCAGTGGTGTACACATCCTGCTGGCTGGTGTACACATCCCACAGCCACACCCCTGGCAAGTGTGACGTGAGAGTAGAACTCTGCACACTCTCCAGGAAATCATCGCCACTGTGGTTTAACGGACTGTTCCATGAAATGCCACCTAGGTTCAGTTAGGCCACTCTAACTGGTTTGAGTCTTCTCTGCATGCTCACTCCCATCACAGAGCTTTGAAAAGAAAATCAGAGCTAAGATATTCAAATATCGATAGTACGCTTGATTGCTAGAATCTATAGCCACTTGGCAAGTTTTAGAAAACTGTATGTTGGAAATCAGTAATAGAAGTGAGTCTCATTGAACTGGAGCATGAGTGCACATGGGGAAGGAAATACAGTATTAGGAAACTGGAAGCCCAGGCACCCAGCAAGCCTGTGTGGATTTCCACTAATGTAGAGATGAATTCAGACTCCTGCGAAATGGATTACCATTATTTATGAGAGAGAGAGAGAGAGTGTCCGTGTGTGTGTCCGTGTGTGTCCAGCTGGGACATCTGGTCAACCCTCATGCAGGAGAAAGAAGAGAGTAGCACTTCATTAGAATACTATAGTTATGGGCCTAGACTAGTCTCCCAGCTACAGCTCATACTGAAGGGTCCCCAGAAGTTGAAACTTCACAGTGATGAAACTCATGGTTACATACCTCAGATAACCACTGCTCTGCTCTTTCCTCTTACCCATGTGGCTGTGAATTTGCTGAAAAGAGTATATCAGAAGAACTGTATGTGCACACAGTAATGCACTGTGGATGCTTGTGTTTGCCCGGTGCTCTTAACCCATAGAGAAATGCATGCTGGAACTGATAGATTTCCAAGCATTCTCTGAAAAGGAAGGCTTTGTCCATCAGGCATGAGCAGTGACATGGCACTTGGCTTGTGTCTCCTCTGAGTAAAAAAATAATCACAAATCAAAAAAAAAAAATCACAAATCTATCATCCTGTTTTGTTTGCTCTTTGCTTTTTTTTTTTTTTCCCCTCTACTGTGGAAACCTCAGCTCTGGTGATGGTAGTGAACATAGCCTGTTGGGAAGTAGGGAGGCCACATGTGCATGAAATTTGGATGAAAAGCATCTGATACTGTTAGTTTCTCCAAAGGAAAGCATTTAACGGAGCCACCTGGGTGCGTCTCCACCTTAGGGAAAAAAAAAATGGTTTTAGAAATAAGTACTTGGAATTTTGTGTCATTTTATAAAAGAGTCAGTCAACACAATGTATTTCTAGTTTAATTAAATTATTCATGAAATTACATTGGAAGGGAATCTTGAGATCCCAAATGTCCTAGGTTAGTCACACCAGGCACCTAGATAGAGATAAGGCATAAACAAGAGAATCTCAAAGAATATTCAAAGAACAATGGCTTTTGCTATTAGCAGTAGCAGCCCCTTCTTGCCTGGGACAGGAAGTCTCTGGAATCAGGTTTGATAATGTTGTGAGCAAATGTGACATAACTTTTGGTGCCTGCCTGTGGTTCTGAGTGGTACATGCTATTTCCAAAGGCCAGTCGTTCCATTTATCTGCATATCAACAACCCCTATATGCCATACCCCACCGACCATCCTGGGGACAAAGTTGAATCACACATTCAGGGCCCTGGAGTTCCCACTGCCCTGCTGGCTAAGGGCTGCTCCACTGAGTCTGAGCTTAAGTGTTTGTCCTTGTGACATCACCTTCTCAGCATCTTAGAGTCAAAATTTGAAAGTATATTGTAATTTTGTTTAATATCAATCCTTACAAAGCTTGAATTTTAACTTTAAAGCAAAAGAATAGCTCTGAACTATGTGTCACTCTTAGTATACAGAAATATTCATAAAGGGGGCCTTTGGTGTTGCTTTTTCATAGTAAATATATATATTTGTATATAAGTGAGCTTGTTCACTAAGATTTATATTTTAAAGTAAAAGAAAAGCATTTTTCTAAAGTGCTCTTATTTTTTTCCTTTAAAATAATGTTAGGTGAAATTTTTGCTGGTGTAAAAGTGGATATTCAGCACCTTGATGAAATGACACTTAAGTTAATCAGTTTGCCACTTTGTCAAGCTGTCAGGTCCTACCAGGAATGTCTGTGTGCTCCTGTAAGCTGTAGCTCAGCTTGACAGCCAAGAACTACACACTGACCTTCAGGGGTTTGGGTCTGTGTTATCACCTTTTAACATTGGATTCCCACCAAGGGCCTCGAGGCTAACACAGGCAGCAATGTGTGTTGCTGGCATGAGGCCCTTCCTTGGACTTCCATGCCAGAGCCTGTTGTCAAAGGTTTTGAAAATGAGATCAGATTTCTGAGTGAGGCATGAACTCTGCTGGAGTGCTTATGGTCCCTTTTAGACTTGTGACTTTGACTCTGTGAGTGTTGCTTATTACGGGACTAACCCAGACTGTCCCCAGTCACAGAGCTGACCTCACTCAGGCATATGAACACACTACCAGACCAGGGGAGTTGCTTTCTGGCCTTTTCCATCTAGGACCTAGTAGGTGTGGTTTTAGGAAAAGATGTGAATTGTTAGTACTATCTCATTTAAAAGATACCTCAAAGTGTTTACCTTTAGGGGCTGAGAGTATCTTACTGGGGAGACAAAGTGATTAGGAAATGCAAATTGGTCCAAAAAGTAGGTTTCAAATCTGATTTAAATATTTATATTTTTTCCCTTGGTTCTTTGGGATGTATGAGAGTGTGATTTTTTTTTTTAAAGAGAAAGCAGTTTGAGCATTTTACTTATCATTTTGATGGATTTGCAGCCTTTCATTCATAGCATATGCCAGTATGAAGTGTGGACCAAAACGCTTATATCACCATTGCCATTGTTCTGTGTGTGCTTGGGATTTATGCCATTTGTCTTACATTTTAAATGGGTATTTTCAAGGTATTGTCATTTTGGGAGAAAAAAAATCTTACTTGACAAGTGTGAAAACTGTTACTAACTGGACAGCAGGGAAGGCACTAACCCCACAGCTGTACCTGTCCATTGCTGTATCATAACCAGGGACTTGGGCTCTTCCCTTTGCACAACTGCCACCTGGGGCCTACATCTGGATGTGGTTACCATGGGTTTGTTACTTAATGGGTGTCTTTTTCCAGAAAAATCAGGAATTAGGAGATTAGGCAAGGGCTCAGCTAAGCATGCTACAAAACCTAAAGCTAGAAGCTAGAGCAGGCCTCTCCATGGTTGTTTGAGCCAAACCCCTCTGGTAGTTGCTATTCTCCATGCCGCTGGATTCTACTAACCAGACCCACCACCCTTGACCCTGACCTCCTAAATGTGATGAGCTGGTACTGAGTGAGACTATTCTGTGACATTAAGATGACTATATCCGTGCAAATAAATGCTGCTCAGCACGGTGAATGTTTCTCTCTCCCTGTTTTCCATGTATGGCCCTCTCGCCTCTTACGTCTGTGTAACCTATTCCAGTGTACGGCTCTCAGAGCAGTAGCCTCCATGGCTTACAATAAATGTCCAAACACCTACCTACTGTCTTGGTCCCATCATTGTCAAGTGTAACTGTATAAACCTAGCAACTCATTGGTTCTACCCTGGTGGCATCTGACCCATCAAGGCAGGATGGGGAAGCTTCCAGGTCACTCTACACCTGGCTATGTAGACCCCAAGAAGAGTTGCCATCTTAGGTAAGCCATTGTCGGCCAGCCTGAGCTCAGCATGTGGGCTGCAACCACGTTTCTCTTTAATGTAGGGTGCATTTTCTGTGCACAGTAGAGTTTCCAAGTAAAGACCAAGAACTTGAGGATAAATAGAATCAGGAACCTCACTGACCCTTGATGTAAACAGAGTCAGGTACCTCCTTGAAAACACTTGGGACAGAGTCAGGAACCACAGTGAAAACTCTTGAGGTCCATTTTATGGAGAAGAAAATAGGTACTAAGAAATAAGGGGCCCCTGTATGGAAGAGGTAGGGAGGGGTATGGCTGGGTTACCCTATTGCTCCAAAATTCTTGTCTCTGCCCTGCCTCACAGTACCAGACAAGCCCAGCACAGCAGGAAGCAGAGGTTTCTGCCCATGGAAAGGAATGAGGCAGTAGACCGTGGTTTTGGTTGTGCCCCTCCTGGTAATCTGGCACATAGCTTCCAGCAGGTTCGTGTAGAGAAGCCCCTGCCTCAGTGTTCCTAGCAGCCAGTCAGCTTGTGAATGTCTCCAACTGCATGGAGGAACAGCTGAGTTTCTTCCACTGTCGGGAGGAGGCTCCCTCAGTTTACCTTGACCTCCAAGAACTTGTACAAGCAGATTGGAAACACATCAGCTGCTTTTGTTCCAACTCTGAAGTTACCAAGAGAAGCTGAGATGTAGAGATTTTTGTTGTTGTTATTTTGTTTTTGTTTATTAAAGTGTATCACTCAAAGGCCAGGTGGCTCTTGAAGCTTTACAACCAGGCCTTATTTAAATCGTTGCTCAAAGTGTGCATTGTTTTCCAGAGACATGCACAGCCAAGCACTATACAGCCTTCTGCCTGGATACAGAAGCAGCTGTCTGTCTAGCGGTTAGCCTGTGGGCTCGAAGTCCCCTCAAACTGACAATGTTAGTGAGTCTTAACACTTCGAATATCTTAGAAAATCAAATAAACAAGAAACATGAGAGGCCTGGTGCCACAAGAGATTTGGTGGTATCCTTGGGAAAGGAGCCTCTCTTCAGGCCTCTAGTCCATACCCCTGCCATTTTCCTGTTGCTCTTGGCCCTGCACTGGGTATGGCCTGGCCTATTTCAGTCCCATTACAGAATTTCAGTGAACTCCTCTTCCACAGGCCAGAACAAGGTAGGTTTAGGGACCAGCAGATAGCAGCCAGAGCTGGTTGTATGAGAGGGACATTTGGAGATAGTCCATTGTCCTAGTGCCCAGAGGGCACCAAAGAAAAGGGACTGGCTTGTGCATGAGTCTCCAACCTGCCACTTTAGGAACACAAAACCTGAACAATGAATGCTTCCAAACAGGAACAAGGTCAGTTACTGCCCTTGAGTTGCTGTTTTGGCCAGTTGCTGCGCCCACGGGACTTGGTAAGCTTCCCAGACATCCACCACTAAGGTAGGAACTAGGGACAACTCACGTGTTCAGAGGACTTACCAAGTTCATCAAGATAAAAAGAAAGGGTTAAAGAAAAAGGCTCAACCACTTCCAAAAACTCAGCCAAAACAGCTGAAGGAACTGCCTCCCTAGGGATTCCAGGCATAGTCATGGCAGAGGAGAAAGTCCCATCCCTAGGTGTTGTGGCCAAGAGAGCACACCATTAAGGCCAAGTTGCTGTCCCAGCCATGTGTCACCTGCTTCATTACCAAGAAGGAAAACCAGATGTGAGGTTCTTACAAATGGTGGGCCAAGGGAGTGCCTGTCCCTCAGCCCAGCAAGGAGCCCTGGCATCTCATCTGGGAGGAGGAGGTAAGCTCAAGAGTGTGTGTCTGTAAAGGAAGGGGTTTTGTATGGTGTGGCTTCTTAATGCCAAAAACATCAAATAAATAAATGAATAAGTAAATGAGGCCTTAAAGTGTTTCCTATTGCAAAATAGCACATACGTAAGCTGTTCAGAACTGATTCCAGGAAGCCTTTCTCTGAAGGCCTGGGTGTGGCTGGGTTGAAAATGCTGTGTGTCAGGGCTGGGAATTTGTTGGGTCTCTGTGTCCCCCAGGTTCCTGGATCAGCCCATTCCTTAAAGAACAGCCCTCTTTCTGCAGCTGCTGGTGACTTGCTCATGCTCTCCAATCACCCTAGACTCTACATTAGCCATCTCTCCCTGATGTCCTATCTGCTCTCAGATCCCAGCTGTGGGCTTTTGCGAACTGTTGGTATTTGCCTTTTTTTTTTTTTTTTTTAAGAATTCCCCCATCTCTCCTGCATCTCTGCCACACACCTGGCCCATAGCTAGAAGCAACACCCACCTGGTGTCTTCCCTGCCTGTCCCTGTCCCACTGGTACCCTTAGTACCCTAGATGCATGAGGGACCCAGCAGTGCTCTTGCTGCCGGCACTCTTTGTTCCCATCAGACCCCAGAGCAGTGTCTTCAAGTGGAACAGGTTGGGGAACAAAACTGATCCCCCAAGAAGCCAAGGGCAGAAGAGAAGCTGGGAGTAGCCAGGCCCCACAGAGATCCCAAGAATTTAGAGAAAGTTCATCTAATCCAAGGCAGGCCCTCACTTTCTATATTACAAATAAAAGAAAAGCATTTGTTTGTTATGGAAAACTTAAACTGTATTGAGTTTTAAAAAAGTAATCTGAAACTTTCCACTGTATTCCTCAGACCTTAGGTGACCACTCCTGGGGGCTACTCAGCCCTCCAGGACCTCTGGCTGGAGAGCACAGAGAGGGTCTTTGCCTCCTCTCTCACCTGGAGACAACACATGGCCACATGCACAAAACTCCGATGTCAGATCCCAGCAGTGGCCTTCATAGATACAGTATGTGTGGACACCAGTTAATGTTGCCTTTTCAGAATGGTAAACCAGCAGTTTAAGAAGCTGGTGCCCTCTTCTGGGGTGCTGGCATACATGCTGGCAGAACACTGTACACATAATACACAAATCT